AGAAATGTATGCAAAGATAGTTAAGACATATACTTTGAAATAAATTGAAAATCGTAATTTTATGCTTTTCATAGCTCGATTTGAATGAAAAACGTTTAAGTGCTTTTCGTTTATGGGTCATATTTTACAATATTTTTTATATATTTCATATTTTCATTGTATGTTAGCTATAATTCAGTTCGCCATATTACATTAATCATTTTGTTTTTGTTATTTTTTTCATGGCGTCGCCGCACTGTGATATTAAGTTATATTCATTCCATGCCGGCGATATTTAAGTATCGTATTTATATTCAAACAAATAAACGCCGTAAAGGGTTGTCCTATTTACTAAATGCGCAACGATTGGTCGATTTTTTTTTATACAATAAAGTCACGAGGAGGTAGTTTTACACCCAATGGCGAACATTTCGAAATACATAAAGTATCAATTACATATTAACCTGAAGAGTGAAAACCTCCTCAAAAGCCATTACATTGGAGACACGTCAAGATGGCTGCAGAGAGCCCAGGATAAACATTTAACACTAGGGAAAAAGAACTTACGGTATGATTTATTTTATCAGAAATATACGCATTTTGTGATGAAGTTAATGTACAGATCATGAAAAAAATGATAGGCTTACCTGAGAGTTAACATTTGAATGTTTGATGAACGGAAAAGAGACGAGAAGGAAAAATAAGGTAGGTATATCTACATTTCTTTACAGCTTATGTAGTATCATTTCTGAATTAACCTACGTAAGTTGTCTTGACATGAACATTTAACAACTTTTTAGGGATATACTCTACAAATCTTGGTTTGCCTAAGGCATGCAAAAATTTTTGTTTGAATGTTTTTGTCTGCAAACAATTGCATATGACATTAAATCATGCTAAATATCCTAAATAAAAAATTATTACGTACTGCTGTACAAATTCATTTCAATGAAGTACATACAACAATAAACGGAAATTCAGCCGAGTTTTAATTCGTGCTAATGAAAACGAAAGTTGAAAATGCAAGATAGCCGATATTTGAGAGATAGTTATAAAAGTATAATTTTTAAAACAGTATATTTTTATACATTAAATAAAGAAGTGTATAACTCTAGCCAAAAAAAATCCTCATATTCCGGATTTTCGCTATAACCGTGTTCGCTTTAAGAGAGTAATTGTCAGTTTTACATCCAAAGTTTTTTAGATTTTTCACTGGATTCGTTATAGCACTGTAGTCTATTTGTCAAAAGGAATCTTTTTTCACAGCATGTCAGGTCTATGTAAGATAATATAATATAATTAAGCATTCAACTTTAATATAATATTGTCTACACAAATACAAAGAAATTTAACATTTTATCACAAGAAAAAAAGAGGACAATTATTTAGTAAGTTTTTGCCATGGCCTGATTTTCATATAAAAACAACTCATCAAACATGTGATAAACCACGTGATAATTCATTCTTTGTTAGTTACGCATGCGCTGTTTAATACTTTGTGTGGCCTTATCGCAATGGCGGAGTTAAGCCCTGGATTCCATATAATTTAATCTCCGTGGAAAATATTCGAGACAATTAAGGTAAAAATTAATTATTTTATGTGATGTTATTTTTTAAAATAAATTATACAGCTGGTTCTGTCATAAACCATACTGATGGATAACAAAATGACTCACAAAATGAATGTATTAAACAGAAACACCATCAGTTTGGATATTTGATCAAAATTGAACATTGTGTTCATGATAAAAAGAAAAGGGTGTTGTTGTATAGTTTTGTTCATGACAAAAATAAAAGGTTGTTGTTGTATAGTTTTAATCATAAGTAAACTTTGTAATATAAATAAGTTTAAAGTATATAACCCATTGTATATACATGTACCTATATTATATATAAATGTATAGAAGAGTATACGTTATGTACAGGTCCTTTTTTAATTGGCACCTTTTCTGAAAACCGCATATAACATAAAGAACAATAAAAAATCTTGCCAAATACCATGAATTGCCCGTGTTGTATGATTAATTCACAAAGATTGTGTAAAATATATGTTGGTGTTTGCATTTCTCTTTACGTTTATCATGCAATACTTTACATCTTTCCAATTATGTGGAAATTGTATCATAAATAAACATAACTTGTATAAAAAATATATATTTTTCCTAGCCCATGGTTTTATTTAAGAAATATATCGGTCTGAGAGCTGTTTATCGGCTATTGAACACCGGTATGGAGTTTTGATGTGTATGCATTGATTTATTTTTTCGCATTAAAACGACAAAAAATACTTTACTTTTTGCAAAAACAGTGAACATCTAAAAAGACGGTTATCAACTTAAGAATCTTAACCTCTCTAATTCAATGCAAACTGAGCTACTTTTTCAAACTTTACTGTTTACATTACTTAATACCACTTGTCACTCACCGCTGAGGATTCGAATCCCGACGAGAACTTCTGACTATTATATTTTATTTTGTAAATATTTTGCTTTGTTATTTAAGATGTACTCTATTTTCAAGTCTTTTTACTTGTTTATGCTAAGTGAAAGTCTTGGATTTTATTTGATGAGATAAAATCCAAATCATTCATAGTATATCACTTATACTGTTGACTTCAAACCACTTGCCCCTCACCGCTGTGGGTTCGAATCCCGACTTTGGATTATTTCATGTGAGGAAGCTATCCAGCTAGCTTACGGAACGTCGGTGGTTCTACTCGGGTGCCCGTTCGTGCCTGATAAAATGCACAGAGGGGCACCTGAGGTCTTTCTCCACCAGTAAAGCTGGAACGTCGCCAAATAACCTATACTGTGTCGGTGTGACATAAAACCCAAATAAAATCAAAGGGCTGCAAGCTCTGTGGTATTTTCTGATCTCTGCAATCTAAATCGTACTGTATATCTGTATTTGTTTTCCTGTATAAGTTTATTTTTGGCGTCCTCGGCGCGGCGCATCTTTTGGAATGAGAAAGGGCGACAACAACTTCTCGAGCCTTTTAGTCGGACAGAATAAAAGCCGTTCATTCCGACCAGTATGAGGGTTCTTGATTCCCTGCGGTCTGGAGACCACAGGGTATTGCTACGCGTTTAACTTTTGAAGCATGGAGGAGCACGTGACCTGTTTTCGGTACATGGAGGAGCATGTGATCTGTAAACCGTACATGATTGGTTAATTGACCTTTTCGGAAACCTGGATAAATACCGTTTGCTGGTACGTTACTGATAATCCTCTAGGGAATTAGACACCTAATTAAGAACAAAAAACTATTACGTGATATTTTTAATTTATTATAATTATGTTACCGTTTAAGGTGGAAAAACTTGAATGATGTGTTTGAAAATTATCAATGTTTCTTTAATATGTATCTCAAAATGTTACAAACAATAAATCATCTGCCATCATAAGTACTTGTGTGTTTACTTTATTATTTTTTTGCTCGGAATTATTCATAAAATGGTAGGCATATTTAATTATTTTCTTAAAAAAGAAATAATTGCTTTATGTTCGATCTTCTCCGGTCATCAACGGTCACCAGTTTCCAAAGACCTTCTTCTATATTAATCGATTACTGTCAAATATATTCCTGATACAAACGTTTATTTATCCTCGCCCCCCCCCCCTGAAAATAGTTAAATGAAATATATTTATATCATTAAAAACGTTCCCCGCAGGAAACCATTTTACTTGTTATTAATTAAAAATGAAATGTCGCGATATATACAATGAATAGCGAACTGGAGAATTTCGCAATGCAAACATTTTCAAATGAAATAACCTTTTCCGTCAATAAATCGCGCTCTTCGGGGTATTTTTATTTATCATTTTGTAGTACACAGTGGGTTATTATGGTTCATGTATCCGAAAGCTGAATAGAATGATGAGTTGATGACCTAAATATTCCGAAAATCTATTTATAGAGGGATGTACTCCTATCGGTAATTCCCGGTCTCTCCTGGTCTATTTTGACCGGAATTTACTAGTGACCGGCGAATAGTACCACACGTTTATTGTCCGGTCTCTCCCGGTTTTCGAGTAGATGTTTGATATCGTTACAGAACAGAACAAATATTTACAGTTATATAAGTTTTTTTCAAAATGATGTTTGTCACTTAGTTTGGTTACATAATTAATAAACACAGATCAACTCTCAAATTTATTGATTATTATTATACATAAACATACAATTCGATAAAAAAACCCAAAAACAACAATAACATGTTTTATAAAACATGATAAAACACTGATGCGTTTGTATCAGATAAAAACATAAATATGTACAATAATTGAGAAAAAAGGTACATTTTATGGTATTAATATGACACTATCAACTTTGAAACATTTTATTTAATTTGTTATTCGTGTTTAGTAAAGATGCCGAGGAATTATTCAAAGTTACAAATTAGATTTTATGAATTATTCAATTGATTGATAATTTAAAAAATGATAAAGAAAAATACAAATGTACATGTATATGTTTTAAGAATAAACAATATTATATATTAAAAGTTTAACCATAATTTATTGACTTTTTCCAGTTAAGATTTACTTAATATAATCGTCGGTCAATATGACAATTGAATTCTTAAAATAGTAGTAAACGTAAAAACTCAGTATTAAAATAGCACATAAAACACAAAAAAGAAAAGAAAACAATATTCATAAAATCTGTATTTTTTTTATTACAATTATTGTATAATAAACAATTATGCTCAACATGATCAACATGGTAATGTAACCAGTGTCATATTGTTAGTAAGTGTGAGTTACAGATACCTTTAGAGGGGGTCTTCGCTAATTATAAGCGATAACATATTTAAGGGACAAGTGTGGTGTTGATCATGCATTACACATATGGATTATAAATGATTGTATACATGTATATCCGTTGCTAAAAAATCATTTATGTTCATTTTTTATTATAGCCACACTTTATCCTTGCATATCGTGGCTATTTTCAACAAAGACACTAAAAAAAGAATTTAAAAAAATGTTGACTAGACTGGGATTTGAACTCCAGACCTCTCACACGTGAGACGAGCGCGTTACCCCTGCACCACGGAGAAGTTTCACATACAGTGGCTGAATAAAATCAAGTCATTCGTAATTTATAATTTCCATTGCATCTCGGGTTAGGGTAATTTCGAGGTATTTTGTTCAGGGTAAACCTGTTGTTTAAAATTGAAGTAAATAATTTAGCAAAAATCTTCTCGCCCAAACAGTCCAACATGTAGATATTATATATTCAACTACTCGACAGTCAGATTTTTTTGTGTAGTATTCGGTCATCGATATCGCTTAAAATAGCATTTTCATTGATTAAAATCATATTCATCCGCGTAATTTGTGAGTGTGCATTTATTGACAATTCTATAAGCCAACGCTACTTTTAAAGTTTGAATGTGTAGTTATTTGTTGGACACTTGTAACAAAAAATTGTTCTTTCTTTTAAATTGCTGGTTTTTAAGCAGTTTTGAGTGAGAACTACATTGCGTTGTTAGGACTGTTAGGAAATGTTGTGTTAGACCGTGGATGTTAGCTATGTATTTATCTGATCTTGCGATCAGAAAATACAAAAATATATACTGTTGCTCACAAAGCTTTGCCGAACTATTTGTGGCATATGTATTACGTTATGAATTTATAAATTTCCTTAAACACGTAATGCATATATTGTTCTTGAAAGCATATTTCTCGATTAAAATAAAATTACTACACAAAAATATCAAAACTCTTCACCGCAACTTTGACGGTATTCAGCAGTTTAAAGATATGGACAGTTATGTCTCATTGTGTAAATATTAAAGAAAAAGTGTTTTGGTAACCTTGAAATCATGACAAAATACCAACTCAGTCATATATTTCTAAATTATATGAAGTACCATAAGAAAGGCAATTTGAAGGAAAATAATGAGATGACAATCCTAGTTTCATGTATTCAAATGCCACTTGATTTATTGACCTTACAACAGGAAACACTTTGAGGCATACTTACTCAAAACAATTAAACAATAATTATCATATTTATCCTTTTGGTTGTTATTTCATTTCAAGTCTAAGTATTTCTCCTTATCTATTGTAACATGTTGCGGCTGATATATAATACTAGGAATGAACACTTTAATGTAAATAGAATAAGGAAGATATCACATCACGTGGATAGCATTGTTTATAATAACGGACACTGAAATTAAGAGTATATAATTAAGAGGGTATTGTTATTGTAGTGGTTTGTTCCTGTGTAACGATGTTTACTTAAATGGGCTGAAGTTGTTGAATCCCATCCTGCTTTATATATATTTTTTTAATTTTAGCAACATAGTTGCTCATTTATTTTCCCCGTCCATGTGGAAAGTGGGGTCGGGGAACCATCCACCACTTCCACTTACAATATCAAATATCTATCCCAATATAGGAACATACAAAGTTATGTTATACGATAATTGTGTTTTCAACATAACAACAGAACTATAAAGAAAAACATACATATTCATACCATATATAATGTTGAAAGAAAAAGGAATTTTCCTTGGGGGAAGATTTATAGAGTGTTTAAAGATGGGGGTTTTTATGTTAAAAAAAT